CCCCTCCCCCAGCTCCCTGGGAGGAGCACTGGCCAGAGGGGTGGTTTTTGCTGCCAAGGCTACAAGCCTGCCACCTAGTGGTGACCCATGGGAACTGAAGGCAGTTGATCTTAGACAATTTTTGTGTGGTTTTTGTTTGTAAAAAAGCAAAAGGTTCCTTATAGTCATAAACTACCATGCACGCATGCGCGCGCGCGCGCACACACACACACACACACACACACACTATGGTCCCGGGTATCAGTGCAGCTGGAAAATGCCATTGTTTCTCTTCCCATTCAGTGAGGTTCAGGCTGAGGCCGAGTCCTCAATGGAAGATGGGTCGAGAAAGGCCTTGGGCGTGTCCTGCTGGGCCTGTCCTCTGGTTTGGGAAGAAGTTCCACTCATTCGTGTTCTCATTTAATCTCATCCGCCCCCTCATCCTCCTGCCACTCATCCATACAACTAGTAAACCCCTGTGCGGGTCACACAGACCAGAGAGATACGTTCATTACTAGTGTGTGCTGGAATGTGAAATAGAAAAACACCGCAGACACACAGCGAGTCATGACCTTGAGCCTGTGCATCTGACATACGTAACAATATTTAAGAAGAGAGTTTACTGAGTTCTGGCCAAGTTGGAGGCATAGGTACAAATGCTTCACTTCCTCACACAACCAAAGGGAGAATAACAACCAATTTAAAAACAATAAACAACCAGAACTGCCAGAAAATCAACCTACATGGAACTCTGACAACCAAGGAGTTCAAGAAACATTCGTTGAGACTGGCAGGAGGGGCGGAGATGGGCAGGTGGGCAGAGAGGACCCTCGGCACAGTGGCGGACTGGGAAACTAAAGACTCAGAACCTCTGGCTGTAAAAATCTGTGGGGGTTGCGAAGGCGGGAGAGACTCCCAGCCTCATAGGAGAGTTCACTGGAGAGAACCACAGGATCCTAGAACGTACACACACCCACCCACCTGGAAATCAGCACCTGAAAGGGCACAGTCCACCTGTGGGAAGTGGGGGAAGTGACAGGAAGTGAGGCTGGAGTGGAGCCAGCGAGCGACGTCATTTCCTCTCCGACCCCTCCCCCACAGATGGCGCCACAACACAGCAGAGAGCGCTGCCCGCCCTGTTTCCCAACGCCTAGGGCTCCTCCCCTCATACGTAACAGGTGCAACAAGACAAAGAAATATGGCCCAAATGAAAGAAGAGATCAAAGCTCCAGAAAAAATACAACTAAGTGATGAAGAGACAGCCAACCTATCAGATGCACAGTTCAAAACACTGGTCATCAGGATGCTCACAGGACTGGTTGAGTTTCATCACAAAATGAAGGAAGACACGAAGGCTATACAAAGTGAACTAAAGGAAAGTATTCCGGGAACCAACAGGGAAGGGAAGGAAACAGTAAACATAAGGAAAGAATCTTAAAAGCAGCAAGAGAAAAAGAGACAGTCACCTACAAAGGAGTTCCCATAAGACTGTCAGCTCATTTCTCAAAAGAAACCTCTCAGGCAAGAAGGGGCTGGAAAGAAGTATTCCAAGTCATGAAGGGCAAGGACCTACATCCAAGATTGCTCTACCCAGCAAAGTTTTCATTTGGAATGGAAGAGCACGGCATGTTAAAGGGACTTACGTAAGAAATAGGAGAAGATCAAAAATATGGACAGTAAAATGACAACACACTCACCACTAGCAACAACTGAACCTAAAAAACAAAAACTAAGTAAACAACGATAGCAGGAGCAGAATCACAGAAATAGAGACCACATGGAGCGTTATCAGCAGGGAGGGGGAGGGGGTCACGGGAGAGGAAGGTACAGAGAATAAGAAGCATAAATGGTAGGTACAAAATAGACAGGGGGAGGGTAAGAATAGTGTGGGAAATGGAGAAGCCAAAGAATTTATCTGTATGACCCACGCTGGGGGTGCGGGGTGTCCAGGGCAGAGAGAGAATAAAGGGGAGAAAAAAACTGGAACAACTGTAATAGCATAATCAATAAAATATACTTAAAATACAAAGTTGTTCAATTTAAAAGAAAAAGAGAAAAGAGTTATTTGCGTCTTTCAGCTCAGCCACGACCTCCACAGCATCCGGCCTACAGAGCAAAAGGCACCACATCCAATCTTTGGCATAATCAGCTTATGTAAAAAAAAGAAAACTTAGTCCTGATACAAAAAGAAAATTGTAAAAGGTATTGCTATTGCCTCAGTTCCCAATTTTACCTAAAATGTGGCTGGAAACATCACTGCAAATCAAATAATATGTTCTTATTAAAACGTGTTGACACGGCCGAATACTTGGCCTTGAATACGTCATTCATATGACCAGAACAGACCCTCACGGCCAACCTACAACACTTTTATATTGTCCTATAAGAATTGCAAATTGGACATTCTAAAGTTGTTCTGTACATACTACCACACTGCACCAAAGGAAATGTAGAACTGAATTATCACTTGTAAATAAAGCTTGGCTAGTTACAACAAATACTTAACTAGCAAAAATTTTGTTAGTAGACTAAAAAATTGTTAAGTTTTTTGAGGCCCCTAAACAGAACAGCAGTGCAAATTGTGCACTGAGGCCTCCTTAGTTATTTGGTGAGTTTCCCTGTAGTAAGAAAATAGATTTAAAAATCTTTATATGAGCCCTGGCTGGTGTGGCTCAGTGGGCTGAGTGCCGGCCTGTGAACCAAAGGTTTGCTGCTTTGACTCCCAGTCAGGGCACAGGCCTGGGCTGTGGGCCGGGTCCCCAGTAGGGGGCGCAGGAGAGGCAACCACACAAAGATATTTCTCTCCTTTCTCCTCTCTCTAAAAATAAGCAAATAAATAAATAAAAGTAAAAATCTTTATACTAAATTTATTATAATATTTTTCAAAAATAGTCTCTAGCCCTATGTTTTGCCATGATAGAGCAAATCCGTGCATGGCAAAGAGTAAAATTTAAAAGCCATGTCCAGAAAAATAAAATATAATTTTTATAATATACAAGTTTATTGTTAAAGTTTTATTTTTAGGGATAATTTCACTTTTATTACAAATAAAAGGGGGTAAGAAGGAAGGGAACTCGTAGTTCCGTGTTTTCTTTTTATCTTCACGAAGTCTCCCCTTGAAGAAGGCTCACAGGAGTTAAGCAACTTGTTCAAGGTCAGAAGAGCAGCCAAAGGAAGAGCAGAGCCCTTGGTCTTGACCCTGTGGGCGTCTGACTCTGAGTCCTGGGCAGGTGAGTGGGAACCTCCCGGGACGAAGGGACTAACGGCCTGAGTATTTGTGTGTTAAGTGCCCCTGTTTCTACCTGGATGTCCCTCCCTGAGGCCACACGTCTCTTCCCAGGCACAGTACGTGGCGCGCAGCTAACACGGCATAAACCACCCTGTCGGCTCCTAGCCTGACGCAGCCCAGCAGTTCAAGCCTGGGCCCCGGAGGGGGGCAGAGGAGGGCAGAGACCTCGGCTCTGCCCCGGGGGGTTGACTCCCAGGCAGGCACATGGCACAGTGGTGGAAGTTACCCCTGTTCGGTTCTTGTGCGCACCCAATGAGACAGTGAGTACGGAGCCCTCAGCGCAACCTGTGCACCCGGAAGGTTCTCCATCACAGCGGGTCTCCTCGGCCTTGACTGTGGACCCAGCGCTGGGCTGCCCTGTGCTCTCAGACCTTGTGGATACGAATCGCGTGGGACAGCTGCCATGCACACCTGCCGGTCACCGGGGCCGGTCCGAAATTCGAGATTTCAGCAGGGATCTGGGAGTGACTGTGACGCAGGGGGATCTCTAGACCACCCTCAGAGACATGCTGCTTCAGAAAGAGGACCCTCAGTTCCCAGACTTCTACAGAGAGGGACAAGCTAACAGTCAGGCACAGTGCACGGCTCTCGGGGGTGGGCAAGGAGGGGAGAGGAAGAGCAGCATCTTGGAGGGGAAACGGGGTCGATTCGTTAACATTCCAGCCCCAACAGCCAGCACAGTTTGTTCCTGCCGTGCTCGCCAGGGACAGAGCCCCGATGCCCCGTCTGCCCCGCCCCTGTCCAGGCTTCCCCTTCACTTCAGGCTCGGACACAGGGCCCATCAGCTCCCACAACTCCTCCCCGGAGGTGGGGGCGGGAAGGGCTCGGGTGAAGCAAACCCAACAGCTGCAGAGGGGTTAGAACGTCTCTGGTTTTTAAACTCAGTCTTCGCCGCGGTTACTTTCTTGCTGAGGGGCTGCTGTCCTTTGAAACCCATTGGGATGTACTCTTGTAGCTTTCAGACCATATTGGGGGGAGCAAATCGTAGGGCTGCCCTTGAGTGCATGAAACACAGGCTTAATTATTGTATCATTGCTGCTTAATTATTATATCTTTTCCATGCAAACGACCGTGACCCCACTTTCACCCGCCCCTGCATTGTAAGGAAGTAAGTTTGGGAGAGTCAGAGAAACAAAAGGGCTTCCTTTTTTTTTCTAAGCAAAACTTTCTAACTTTCTATAAAAGTGCTGTTGATAAATAATATGTGTGAATTAATGTTGCTCGTGGCCCTTGGCCTAGCCCTCAGCCTCGCCAAAGCCCTACCAGGGGGTCCAACCTCTGGCTGCTTGAGGCCCAGGACACCTGTGAATTCGGCCCAACACACAATCGTGAATTTACTTGAAATCTTTTCTTGGCTCATCAGTTTCCACTAGTGTTTGTGTGTTTAGTGTGGGGCCCAAGACAACCCTTCCTCTGCAGTGTGGGCCAGAGACGCCAGAAGACTGGACACCCCTGCCGGACCCCAAGTCCTGTTGGCGGCCCCCTACTGGGGTTTCCTTCGCTAACGAGGCCTGGGACCCCAGCAGCGCAATGACGTCACGAATCAACTGAGCGGACCTTTTCCTGCCCATCCCCGGAGGCCAGCTGAGGACTGGCCGTCGAGACACTGGGTTTAAAGAAAGAGGAGAAAACAGACAAGAAACTCGAGGGACACGGTCCCTGCCCCCAGCCCCCCCCCCAGCAGCTGGGGCTCCCGAGGCCCCGTGGGCGGGGGCGGGGCGCGGTCCCTCACCAGCAGGTTCTCGGGCTTGATGTCGCGGTGCACGATGTTCAGGCTGTGCAGGTACTTGACGGCGCTGGCCAGGTTGTAGAGCATCCCGCTGGCGTCACGCTCCGTGTACTTGTTCGTGGACGTGATGGCGTCAAACAGGTCCCCTCCCTGGGGAGAGGCAGCAGGTTAGCGGGTGTCCGTGGAGCAGCCTGAAGAGGGACCCACCGGCTCTGGGGACCGAGGGGGCGAGCAGGGCCTCCCCACCCCCTTCCGCTCAGAGGCCCGGCGACCTGGCGGAGCTCTCTCTCCGGGGTGGGAGCTTCCCTCCGATGCTCAAAGGGAGACGCTGGTGAGGAACCTCCACCCCAGGCCCCAGCCAGCAGGGGGGCGGATGCCTTGTGACACCCGGGCGTCCCGGTGGCACGTGGTAGGAGCCTCACACCAGCCCCCAGCTGGACCCTGACCCCCCAAGTGAGGCACAGGGAACAATGCGAAGGGCAGCCTCGTGCCCTGGGAATCCACACACGGTTCCCTTCCCCTCTCAGCCGGTGTGGTGTCCCTTTTTTCAATCGTGTGCTTCTTTTCGAGAAGCAGAGGAAAGAACCAGAAACCGCCATTTCACAGGTGCGAGAGGGAGGGAGGAGGGGGAGGAATTTCAATGGAGGTTTCCTAGGACCAATACAAGGGGGAACCCTAAAAACCCAGAATTTATTTATTTTATTTTATTTATTTATTTATTTTTAGAGAGAGAGAGGAAGGGAGAGAGAAAGGGAGAGAAACATCTATGTGTGGTTACCTCTCAAGTGGTCCCACTGGGAGACTTGGCCTGCAACCCAGGCCTGTGCCCTGACTGGGAATCAAACCAGCAACCCTTTGGTTCGTAGCCTGTGCTCAACCCACTGAGCTACGCCAGCCAGGGCCCAGAATTTATTTATAAAAATTGTGCATTTATTCTCACACATTTAAACATTGGACACCTTCAAAGTCCTCTCCATCTGATTCAGAACACATATCGAGACTTTTTCCACTGCTCAAACAGTTTTTGAGCTCATCGATGTTGGTGCCTTTTAGTGCTTCTGCTGTTTTTTGTCTCACCTCCTCCACATCCGCAAAACGCTTCCCTTTGAAACTTTTTTCATCCGGGGAAACAAAAATAAAAGTCGCCCAGGACAAGATCGGGGAATAGGGAGGATGGGCCCTGAGGGTCATGCCTTTTTTGAGTCAGAAACTGCTGAACACCTAGCCTGGTGTGGGCAGGTGCGCCTGCAAATCACCCATCTTGAAATGGGCAAATGTGTTGAAAGTACCTACAAAAAACATTCACTGAAACAGAACCCAGACTCTCACAACAACGCCAGCTAGTGCACAGATACAGATGATTTCCTGGAACACTCCCCTAGTGGGGGAGACCTGACCTACAAGGGCCCTGCCCTCCAGAAGCTAATTCCTGGGTTTTGGGGGGTCCCACCTTGTATCCACCTGAACTTTTGTCTGCCGTGTTCCCTGCCGACTTACTGTTCTTTGGTGAAACAGAATGGTCCTAGGCCCCCCTTTCAGTTCTGTGTATTTGAACTGGGTTGGAAAACTCGGGTCTGGTGCAGGGAACAGCGTTTGTGTCATTCTTGCGTCAGACAGTGCGCCTGCTCCACAGCTGGGCACCGTACATGGCTGTGTCCAGCGGCTCCCTCTGGTGGCGGGGACTCGACTTTTCTCCTTCACTGGGCTGACAATTTCCCAATCCCTGTGCGGCCTGACCTTTGCCCTGCGCAGTCCCCACTCAGCGGGCTCCCCCTGTCCATGCCCCCTCGGCGGGTTCTCAGCTGCCCAAGCACAGATGTTGTTTTCAGAACGAACACTCTCTCTCTGCACCTCCTGTCCCGCTCAAAGCCAACGCCACTGTAAGGGGGCTTCTGTCCGTGCCCCACCCTGGGGGGGTGGGATCGCTACCGCGGTCTGTGTGGACAGCCCCCGGTCCCCCACCCGTCCCCCAGGGCCCCAGGCTCAGGGCCTCCTGGAGCCTCATTCCTCAGCTTCCCCCCTCCCCCCGGAGCAGCCCCGCAGCCAGCCAGCCCTCCCGCAGGGCGTGTGGGGCCCCGTCGTCCAGGCCCTCCCGTCCCAGGGGGGTGGACGTCCTTGGGGCTTCATCCTGGGTTGCTGCAATGGCTGACGGCCTGCCTGCCTCCGAGTCTGTGCCCGCGGCATCCCACCCACGGACCGTCTCCTTCCCACGCAGCATATGGGTGTGGACATCCCGTCTCTCTCGGAGGAGCCAGCAGTCTGTCCCACGGCTCAGCACGTCCAGCCCCCACCCCTGTTCTACCCTGTCTAACCTCCTCTCCTGCTGCTTCCTGCCCCTTCGTGATCCTGGCCCCCCAAACCGGCCCAGTCACTCTGTGGCCAAGCCTGTGCTGGTCAGAGCTCCCCCCCGGACGTCCCGGGTTCAATCCCCAAGGCCGCCTCCCCGACGAGGTCTGCCTTGCTCGGTCCGCCTGTGCGCCCTGCTGCAGGCTCAGGTCTCACGTCCTGTTCTTGACAATCACGGGATTTGGCTTTGAATCACGGTCCCTCCCGTTTTCCGTGGCGCCAGCCTGGTTTGTCCTGTCGCAGCAGGCTCTCTCAGGCACAGCAAGGGACCCTGGGGACCTGTCATCAGGTCAACACGACACTCAGGTGCGAGAAGAACAGAGCTGCCGGAAAACTAAACGCTCCACATCCTAGCACTTCTGACGACCGGAACCGTCAAACAGGGAAGCGGAGGGGACGGGCAGGCCACCTCGTGTCACAGGCAGCTGTCCCCGCCATTTCGCCCTGTCTGCGCTCAGCGACCTAACAGAGAGCAGTGCCGTGGGTTGCGGCAGAACAAGGGGGCGAAGCTCACAGGAGGGCAGCAGTTCTGTCCCCGGTACCGTTACGATGGGGACGTTCTTCCGTTAGGTTGGCGACTAAAAGTCTAGCGCTTGTTGATACAGGAAGGGGGCGTGCAGTTCACGGGAGCACAGTCTCTGCCAGGACAATAACGGCACTGGTCGTATCGGTACCAACACCTCCTGTGTCACACAGACTGGGGCAAGCCACTCCTCTCCTGCCCACTAGTCACTCCTAGGCAGGTGCGCACGACGGAACTGAGGCCCAGGGAGGGACCCAAGGTTGGGGAGCTATTAGGTCGAGGCCGGGTTTGGACTCTGCGGTGCAGCTCTAATATCGATACGAGTCTCCAACCACGATGCCAATGTACACAGAGGACAGAGCGCACGCCGATGCGGGAAACCCAGCGCGGTTTTGCACAGGACCGTTCAGGGGGCCCCGTGGAGGCTCAGTTCTTTTTTCCAAGACACCCACCTTCACCAGCTCCATGACGAGGTACAGCTCCGTTGGCACATCCATCTCTTCGATGAGCAGAACGATGTTGGGGTGCTTCACTCTTCGCAGGATGGACACCTCGTTCTGGATCATGTGCTCCTGCCCAGGACGAGAGCAGTGTTACCAGGCACGCCCGGGCACGGGACGCGGTCCCGCAGGCGGGCGACCCTGCGCTTTGCGAAGGCCGAGGGGTGCGCGTTTTGGTAAAACGTGAGGGCTATTTCTCAGATTCCGGTCTTTGCATAGCCTAGAATCGCCAACAGATGTCAAAGGTCCTTAGAAATGATACTTGTGATTTCAGAAATTATCGCAACCACCGCAAGGGCATGTGGGAATGGGAGTGAACCCTGAGATCACGAGAGCGACGTGAGAAAGAAACCAAACTGGCGAACGAGGGGAGGGGTGGAAGCAGCACCCACTCCTTCTGGCTACTTTGTCCGAGGACCACGGGGAAGGGTGAGATCTGGCTAGTCTGTGACTTCCTGTCCCACCAGAACACAGCAGCGGGGGACGGGTTCGCGCTTGTCCCGGAGCTGATGTCTCTGTCCCCTCCCCCCCCATACTGTGTGTTCACAGAATAAACCTCACACATACTTTGCCTCGACATTTGCTTTTCTTGATAATTTTCAGAGCATATTCCCTAGCCGTTGACCTGCAACGAGAGAAAGAAAATTTTGTTAAGTAAACTTAATTTGAGATATATTGAATCATCTTGTTAAAGGCGTCTCGCTTGTCCCACAGACCTTGCCTCACGGTATAAATATTTCATGAATGACTCTTTTTCCCCAAGAAACGTGTGAACTCTCGGGGACTGAGCAGGTGTGAGGACGGCACACACACTCGCGTGGAAACACGCGTCCTGACACCAGCGCTCTGGCCCGGGCCCAGTGGCTCCTGCCCTGCTGCTCGGGGGCCCGAGACGGCCGTGGGCCCTGCCCTCCTCCTTCCAGCCACCCAGAGGTTCACTCTCCCCGGAGCGTAGCCGGGGCCACTTCATGGATGGGCCACGCGCATGGGCTCCCCGGGAACCCGGAGGGAACAGCCCACACACCTTTAACTCGGGTTCCGGGTGCGAGCCTCTGAGGCGATGGCTGCCCCAGGTCACAGAGACACAACAGAGGTGACAGTGAAAATCAACTCACCCTCTGAAGCCACGGGGCAGTGGAGGCCACATAAGCAGGGGCTTCTGGGGTCTCTGGTTCTCACAGACCCCGACCAACCCCACCCGCCTCCGTGACACACGGGGCGGGGAGGGCTGGCCACGCGGCCACCTGCAAAGAGCTCCCTGGGCCGTGTGGCCGTGACTAAGACACTGTGGCCCAGGCCACCCCACGTTCACCGCCAGAGGACACCACGCAGATGGAACCATCAGGATAATTGACCCTGTGCAACAGGCCGTGCGTCTTGCTTCCCGGTGGGAAACCAGGACTGCGGCCTCTTCCCTGCAGGCAAAGCCACCTTTCAGGACCCACATGAACCCGGTGGGAGTGAGGTGGGCAAAGACCAGCGTTTTACAGCAGGGTTTGGAAGTCCCCAGTACGGAAAACCAAAGGGGGCCTCCCAGCCACACGGCTGGAGGGGGAGGGGCTCGCTGGGAGCGGGTCGGGCGGTCAGGTGTCGCCTCTGAGTTTGAGGGGCAGACACACAGACACGGCCCCTTCTTCGAGTCTAGAAATGCGTCTTCCATCACCGTCCCAGGTCCCCACATGCCGCCAGCTCGCAGAAGATAATAAATGGGGACGGAATTTTTATAATTACATTGGGTGACTGGAACAGAGTAAAATAATCTGGTAGAAGCCTATTCTCTCCACTAGGGGGCTCTTCAGATCAGACGGGCAATGGCGGCTGGTCCCTCTGCCTCAGAGACTCCCGGGCAGCCAGTCCCCAGGCTCGGTTCATTCGGTCTTGTCGGTCCTTCAGGCCCCAGATGTGCGGACAGGGGGTGATGGAGGATGCACGAGCTGGCCTCAGCCAGGTGCTGGGCCTGGGTGCTCAGCGTGCCCTCCCCCCCAAAAAAAACACCAGACTATCGGCCAGGCAATGGTGCAGCAGGGAGAAAAACACTTCGGTAAGAGGGAACACGAAAGATCGGGCACTGGAAATGTACAATGCTGCACGGGCGCGTGGGTCCATGGGAAACAAAATGACCTACGAAGGGACTCCTCATGTTACGGAACACTCACAGGGCCCTTGAGGCTTCTTTGTCCGCAGACCGAAGAATCCGTAATCAAGAGGGAAGCTAAGAGCTGAAGTACTTCTGCATTCCGCTTTTCAAGATTCACTGGAAAGATTCTGGTAACGCTGGATGGAGGCTAGAATCCCTGAGCAACATCCTAGCTGGTTGAGAAGGGTTCATGGGGCAGCCAGCAAGTCTGGATGCATGGGCTGGCCACTTGGAGCATGGCCTGCTGTCTCAGAACGGGCCGGGGCAGGGGACCGTGGAAAGGCCCAGGAAGCCTGAGGCGAGGGCACCTCACCAGGAGCCCTCTGCTGGGCTCAACAACCTCTTGTTGGTGCCTCTTGGTGCTTTGCCTTTTCTCGGGGCCTCAGAAAGCTGCAGAAAACAGCTTCAAAACAGAGCACGCTTCTGCCCACCACCTGCCTTTGGCATGTCCCGGGGGCTCCCAAGGCCACTTGGATGTGGCAGCCACTATGGAAAGAAGCTGGCAAGGGACCGTGCACAGAAAGGCTGCGGCAGCACTGTTACTGAGGCTGCCGTTGTACCAAATTCTCTGCGGGACAGGGCAGCATTAACAGAGCCAGGGAAATACTCGCTCTCGTTAGTGCACATTCATCCTTCAAAGTGCGGCAGGGGGCCCTGCCAGCGGGTGCCACTCACAGCGTCCTCAGCTCGCTTTTGTTTTCTTGGGCCCCTGGAAACTATTAAGAGAATGTTTCGTGGAGCCTCCAGGGAGGGAGGGCACACGCCATATGTCCTCCACCGGAGGGGCGCTCGAACACTTTCTGCCGCAATCTGGTGTTTAGACTCTGACGGCTGGGACCGTGAGGCCCGGAGGGTGGACTCAGCCAAAATACATGCCACCCAGACTGGAAAGGGAGAGATGCATGCTGGGTGGAAAGAGGAGGGACCTCAACCGTGGGGAAGACCGGTGCTGCCAAGCAAAGACGCCGCTCTGACCCACGCACTCGCTGGGACAAACAGCAGGGGCCACCGCACCAGGCTCAGCGGCTGAGAGACGCTGGCAGGTACTCAGACAGCCCACCGTGGAAGGGCACAGCGACCCCCACAACAATGGGTGTGAGGCTGCGGCGGGAACAGACATGTCCCCATCAGTGAAAGTGCACACGCCTCGTGGAATCACACAAGCACACGCAGTCCCACCCCTTGCCTGCGAGGGGGCTCTTCCAGGTTAGTTTCTGTCTTTTCTGCCCAGGGACAAATGCGGTGTGCGTGGCCGGGGCTCTGCTAAGCCATGTCCTGTGGGAGCCGCCTCACTGGGGACCGTGGAGAAGAGCGGCCAGGCATGTCAGCTTGGAGCGGGCTCGGATCTGCACCTGCTCAGGGCTGAGGGAGCCGAGTGACCTGGGGCTTTCTCTGCGTGAAATCAAAACAGCACTGACAGTGTGGAATCGTCGTAATAATTAAAGGGAACGTCAGATGCTAAGGGTGTGTCCTTTTTGCTCAGGGAACAGTGGCCACTCCTGGTCTGGACTAGTGAGGCCCTGGAATGTATAGGGTCATGTGCTCCCTCTGGCAGAGACCGGACAGTGGTCACGGCGCCGAGGACGGGGTGAGAGGGAGAAAGGGCAGCAAAGGGCTTTCCCGAGGCCCTGGTGACCAGCTTGTGCCCCTCACAAAAAGTGGCTGCCCCTGTGAGTGCTGTCACTGTAGCGAAGATCCCGGTCCGGTGGGCCTGCAGGGCGGAGCGGAGTTTGGGGTCCCGGGCCCAAGGGTGGCTTCCCGAGGGCGCCCCCGCCTCCATCAAGGAAGCCCCTTCCAAGGCGTGGCAGCGGGTTCGTGGAGCAAATCAGGGGACACTGGGCACCGTAGGGACAGCCCTGGTGTCTAAGGCCACAGACTTCCCAACCAACTGCGCTTCTAAGCCGGAGGCTGGGGGACGAGAACAAGCTCTGCTCTCCAGGCTACAGCCTCCAGTTGGTCTGGTGCTCTCTCTGCAAGGGCCCGTGCGAGCAGGGAGGGGCTCTGGGCGCTGTGCTCGCACTGTTCTCACACTGGTGGCGCACCCAGGCCCACGGGGGCAGAAAAGGGCGTCAGGGAGGCCTGCCCGCCCCGGGGCCAGCTCCCTCCCGCTGGGAAGGAGGCAGGTTCCCCCAGACATTTCCACACTCTGCTCGCCCAGCCCGGACGGGACGCTGCCATGAGAAGCCGGCAAAGAAACGGTTCCAACCTGGTGCTGAGCTCAGGGTGTGAGGGCCCCTGCACTGGGGCTGTAGCTCCATCCGTTGTCACCCTCCCACCCCACCCCCCCGTCTCGTTGCCACCAGCTCCTGTCCTGACTGGGCGTCGAGATCCCACGGGCTGGCCTTGCCCTCTACCCCCTTCTCTTGGGCCCACCACAGGGCCTGGCTCGCTCACAATGAAACATTTTCATGCACTAAGTGCCATTTTTGCGGGGATCAATACATACGTACTTAGAAGCTTTTCAAAGGCATTATAGTTAATTTCATGATTGTATGTGACATATATTATATATATGTATGTATGTACTCATATATATTCCACACCAGAATGTCTGATCTCTACAAAATGCCTGAGAAAGAGTATAGGAAAAAATTACTCACACACGCATATTTTTTTTTAACAAAATGAAAGGACTTACCTGAAAAATCTGGCAAAGTTTTGCTGAGTACATTAAAAGGAAAAATCAAAGTCCTTAATTTATAGATTGTCCCCAGGAATCACTACATTTGTCAAATCTTGGTTTTTTTCTTTTACATCTGGGCCTGAGGCGTTAACCGATCCCACCTGTGTCCCAGACGGTAAAGAAAGAAGGGATCTCGGACAGCGCGGCGCCGGGGTCTCCTTTCCCGCCTGGGGTGCGCGGTCGGCTCCTCACCTTTCCACGCATTCCTTGACCACGGCGAAGTTGCCGTCCCCGATGGTCCGTCCGACTTTGTACCGCTCCGTGATGGTGGCCGGGATCTGGAAGCCCTCCTCCGACGCTTCTGGAAGAAGCAACGGTGCGCTTTCACTGCTGGGGCAGGGCGCGCCGGCGTGGCCGCGGAGGACACAGTGCCCGGCACCGCAGACCAGACGAGACCCGGACCCAGGGGTCACTTTCCGGACAGCGAGGCCAGCGCCCTCTGCTGACGATGCGCACTCGCTGCAACCTCATCCAGGAGCCAGGGTGCGCGCCCACGTGCATGACCGCAGCGCCAGCTCTCTGTGCAGGGGGCTCTAAGGGGGACGCTGGGATCTCTCTGTGGCGCATCAGTCTGATCAACAGCACTGACGGCAGACCCACTGCGTGCGGGGAAAGGCCATTTGTAGGTCTGGCACTGGAGGGACCCCCCGGTGGCCTGAGGTTGCATGTGAAAGGACCTGTGGGGCACACCCTGAGCCTCACTCCACCCTGGAAGGGAAGTCTCCGGAAACTTCCGGAGGAACCCAGCCCCGAGGGCCACCCCTGCCCGTGTCAGAGAGCTGATCCCACACGGAGTTCTCACCAGCAACCTGCGGAGCAGATGTTGGGGGGAAACTGCAGTATCTGTTACGTCTGCGAACAGCGTGGTTTTGTAGTTTCAATTACGTGAGTGCCACTAACGCAAGACATTTCCCCCCTTAAAATGCACTTTGAAATGTGTTACAAATGCCTAATAATGCTTTATATATTCAAGGCCGTAACACTAAATAAGCCACACTTCAGGTCACGTAAATACACCGGGTAACCTTTAACACCTTAGGGGCATCAAAAGCCTCTTGTGGCTGGGCTCTAAAATTTACATGCTGGAAAGTTATAAATCTCCGCTCTGCCTCGGGCAACCTGGGTACGACATGGGGTGGAAGCCCGGTGCGCCTTCGAAACACGCTCCTCCTCTGACCTTGAACTGTAAACCGGGACTGACCGTTTCTTCTCCAAAAAAAATGAACACCTCAGGCGGTGAGTGGGGCTTCCTTGGTGAGTTGTGTGCTCGTTTAGTCTGTGTCGATGGGGGAATGACGGGTGGAAACTCGGAATGAACGGACGTCTGCCCGAGGCCCCTGGCTCCGGTTAGCAGGTAGAGAGCGCTCCGTTGGCCCCACCCAGGGTTCTGGGGCGCGTGGGGCTCCTGCGGCCTGCTCACTGGAAGCTCTCGCAGCGGTTTTCTGGAACCCCCCGCCACTCCCATCCTCTCCGCCCAAAGGAGCCAGTAATTTTGCCTGATTGAAAGACTCAGCCGCGGTTTTTGTTTGTTTTTTTCTACTTCATGGGAATTAGAGATGGTTGGACAAGTTTGAAGTCCACTGCAGAGCACCCAAGTTTACAACCACCTCTCAGAGCACGTGCTGTGCAGGTTTTTAAGGACATGAATAAGGGAAGTCAGCGCCCTTGGCTGTTGGATGGGAGAGGGCAGAAGGCGCTGCCGCCGTCCCTCCTGGGGGAGGGCCAGCACTGGGACTGCTAATAAAATGTGTCCCTTGGGCTGTGGTCCCTAAGAAAGCTTCCCCAAGGGCTGGCCCACTGGTGGGCTTTTGCATGTCCTAAGGGAACTAAGATGCGTTGGAACCACAGAGACTTCCGGAAGGCTGGGTCTCAGGCTCCTGGAAATACAGGACAAACCTGGTACTCCAAGGCTGGTGGGGAGGTAATTCCTGTGTAAATCCGTTATCTCACTTGACATAACTACTGGGCTTCCCCCTGCCGCAGGGTGCTTTTCGGGGAAATTCAGTCAAATCATTGAAAACAAATGAGGGGGGCTGATTCTTTCACAGTGGTTCCGATCCATTTTCTAAATACCTTCGCAGAATTGACTGGAGCCTGCCGGCCTGGGGAGGGAGCCGGCGTCGCTCTGGCAGAAGAGGAAGGAAGGCAGAGAGGCTCACTACCCAAAACCGCCCTGGAGCCCCGTGGCCACGGCAGCTCTGGGTCAAGGTCACCAGACCACAGCTGGGACCCCATCCCAGAGAGGTTCTCAAGTGGATCATCACTTCAGGGTACGGAGAGTATTTTCGCCACTGTCCTCAGCTCAGTCTCTTTGTGAATCCGTCTGCATGGGCGGTGGTCCCTGCCGTCAGAGCCCACCCGCAGTGCCGTCCCAGTGGGTGGAGGGGGCTGCTAAACGTGAACAGAACTTGGGGAGACAAAGGTGGGAGTGACCCCTTTCGTTCCCAATGGCCGGCCTGCTGAGGCCACTCACTGGCTTGGAGGGTCTGACACCTCGAGAGGTCAGGCTGTCGCTTTCCCTCCCTGTCCCCGCAGAGTGGAGGCGGCGGCCAACCCTGTCTCCTTGCCGTCCCTGCCCCCTTTGTTCTGCTGGAGGAGCTACGGTCTCCGGTCTCCGGGCGAATCCCACCACCCGTCCTCGGCCCCACCCCGGCCGAGGGCGTGTTCCTTTCAGACGACAAGCCCCGCGCTCACCGCCTTCTCCCGGCCCGTCGTTCTCGTCCATCGAGCTGCAGACTTTGGTGGACGCCAGGGAGGTGGACGAGCCGCCATGCTGAGAGCCCTGCAGGGGGACAGGTCGGAACAGAGAAGTGCGGTCAGGGTGCCCGGCCCGGAGTCCCGGGAGACCCGGGAGACCCGGGAGACCCGGGAGGAAGGGCGGCTCAGACCGGTCGGTGAGGACGGCAGCTCCTTCCCGCCCTGTCAGCCAGGGACAGATGGTGCCAACCCGGCCGGGCTCACCCCCCTCCGTGGGGATGTGCCATGTGGCTTTCACTCCTCCGACCACGGCGACCGCTCCGCAGCCCCGTCTCCGTGGGGCAGACCGGAGGTGCTCCGCCTCCTCTTCCGCTGCCCGCCCAGGAGCCTCAGACACGTGCCATTCAGGTTGCATGGACTGTGTCTATTCTCACCCGAGAAGAATTTTCTCTTCAGTTTGTTTTTACCAAATAGCCTAAGAAAATGGTCCAGCCTTACCACATCCCCGGAGACAGCGCTGAGAGCGGGATCGGGGAGTCCGCTTTGCCATGAAGTCACAGCCCTGGGCAAGGGGTCGGTGCGTTGAACGTCACGCACAAAACTCTGAGGCCACGACAGGAATAAAAGCCTTCGCCTGGCGATTCCTTGTATTTGGGGGGGATTTTGACCCAAGACCCACGAGAGCGCACAGGGTGCCCACGCAGTCAGAAAGCCCAGAGGGGGCGACGACCAAATATTTAGTTCTCTGATCGGCCGCAGGGCAGAACGTTAACAACAGAGGTGCCCACCTCGGCACCTGTCCCTGAAAAATTCATCTGCACGTCTCAGTGCTGTTTCTAAATAGCAAACACAGCTTGTCCTACAAGACCTTCCTTCTGTCTCCTGGCTGTACCCGCTTGCTTGGCCTGATGGGAGCTGGAGGCGGTGAGGGGCCGCGTCGGCTCGGCCGGCTGTCTGCAAGGCCGAGAAGGGGAGGGGCTCTGCTGGGGGGTGAACAACGGCGGGGTGGAGAGGCACGGCTGACCTATTTTCCCGCTGCTTACCTGTCTCCCAGCTCCCTCCCCACTCCAGCCAGCCCAGCTGAAGCGGGAGGGAAGAGGAGGTCCATATGATTTCATCATGACCTGCAGTCTCTTGCAGATTTTCATTTTCAGGGAAGATTACCCCCATGGGGGAGATGCTACCTAAACCCCGTGGGGCCATCTATGTCCACAGCCACAAGACACCTTCTCAGGTGAGGCTACGCTGAGCACGTCCCACTGGACGGGGTCTTCCAAGCTGGCAGGTGACAGGTGACACCACTGGGAGAGAAGCTTGGTTCCCGGCCGCGACACATCTTCTTCACAGGACGTCCCAGAGGTCCCATGGTTCCTCCAGGGACCCTCTGAAGGGCGACCCCACTGCAGGGTCTCTGCAGGGCGCCCTTCACGTCTCAGCGCCAGGGGAGCCCACCATTCACCAGCCTGGGGACTGGGGCTCTGTCCTCTCGCCCCACTTTGTGACCCAGCAGCCGGCACTGGTTCCCCGTCAGGCCAGAAAGGGGAATTCAGAGTTTTTCTCGGTGGGACACTGTGTAGTTGCAGTCGCTCTGTTGCCGGTATTGCGACTGCACGAGCCTCTAACCCCTGCTCGGAAACAAGACAGATTTATGCCGTTGGTGCCTGGGGAAAAAATAAACGGTAATGTTACCACGTGTGAGGGGAAGGTGTGTGTTTTCCAGAGCGGCGAGATCTTCGACCCCCCGCCTCGTGGCCTTTGTGTCGTGGTCTTCCATGCAGAGAGGCAGCGGCATGGTTTCTGAAACGTGGGTCTCCTCTTCGGGGGCGTGGCCTCCTTGACGTCCTTCCAGCAGCATCACCGATGATGGGGCGAAATGCTGTAGGCACGCTGTGGTTTGGGGCGGCAGCCGTGCCACGTGGGGGTTTAAAGTTTAGGACAAAGACACATTGGTTCATCACGCACCAGAATTAACAGATTAGTAGCAAAGGTGTCCACAGTTTCTGCAGGCAATGCCAAACCCTGGTTCTGTCAACGAGAAGGAACATCAGCTGCTCAACACAGAACCCTGGCCTGCAGTCCGTGAAGACGTCTTTGAAACTGCAGTGTTCATGCACCTGCTGGGGATGACACAGAACCGCCCTCTCAGCCAATGGATCACGTGTCAACAGTGTCCCCAAAGGTCAGGCACCCGGACGCTTGGCCCGGGGTCAGCTGCACTCTCTCCACCTTACGAACAGAAACCCGCAAGGAGTTTCAACCCTTCGAAAACACGGAAGGAGGTGGAACAGGTCTGCTTATGTTTGAAATCGCTCGTTTTCAACTTTCGACTTGTGTTTTTGAAAATATTAGAGACTGTCCATCCTGAGTCCAAGGACAGATGGACAGTTTTAAGAGAAAGACTTAGTTTAATTACAAACAGGTTGTTCTGAAAATTGACAGCGCTTTTATTATGCTCCAATAGAATAAAATAAAGGCACTAGATTTCTAATGGTGTCGTCACTTCTTTTCCCCCAAAGAAGCAAGGTAGGTAACATTTACAGTAACCCTTTCCTAGGACGATGCCCATTTGTGGGTTCAAAGAACTACAGGGAGCGGAATGGACTGTAAACATGGCCTACTGCACCTGACTTCCGCCCAGAAACCGGTGCCCAGGACAAACACCCCAGGGAGGCCGTCGTCAGACTCCAGCCCGGGGACCTCCATGCAGCACCGGACCCAGCGCAGTCCTTCCGCTGTTGACGGGAGGCCAAGCGAGTTCTCCCTCGGGGACGCCGATGGGACACTGCCCTGCACCGCCCGGTCCTGGTCGGAGCTCCCTCCTGCCGAGCGGCCCCGGGCCGGTCTCACCCAGACCTCCTGTGGCCGTGCCCACGAGGCTCCTGGGCCCTCCCGTGTCTCCTGGTTTTCCACCCGAATGCTCTCTGTTGTTGTCATCATCATTGTTGTGTCCTGTGACATCAACAACCACCACCGCCCCGGCCCCCAGGGACTGCCCTCCTGCGGGCACCCTCCAGCTGTCAATCATCTGGTCAAAGCTGGTACTGGAGACACACTCAGTGTCCCAGGAGCACCGGGGTCAGCACAGAGCAGGCGGGCCCGGCCAGCTTTCTTTCCCAGCACAGAGCAGGTGGGGGGCAGTGAACAGTGTGGCTCCTTGTGTGTGCTCGTGACTACACTAAGGATACTCGTGCTGGGGCGTTTTGGTTACTGTCCGTAAATCTGATGGGGGGAACTTGAAAACAGTAAAGGAAAAATGTGTATAATCTAGTTCTTCAGAATGAACCCACTGAGCTGAAGTAGCCTTTGCTTATGACCAACAGCAGCTGAAAAGCCCACTTCTAGTTTTGCTTATGCAAGTGAAACCTGTGTACATGTTTTATTTTTCCTGAGCAGACAAATGATTTTGCCCTACATACCATGGTAAGATTGTGTGTTTCCCTCAGTCAGTTTGCTGATTCCTAGGCCTCTGGGTGTGCAGTCATTTTAGAAGTTAATGCAATCAGCTGTTCTTTGGGACAGGGTGACGTTAGAAATGTCATCACCTCCAAGCACCTGCCGTGGGGGCCAGGTGGGGACACTGGGAGGGCGCACCTGCGGGAAGGCACCCCCAGCGTCAGCGCTCACCCCCAGGGCCGTCATCTAACTGGGGCCCTGCGACAGCTGGAGGCATGTGGCCCTGTGTGAAGGGAGGCAGCTGACAGAACAGCTCCGACCACATTTTCCCAAGATGTGTCTGCGGGTGATGTGGTAAAAAGCAGCCTGTTTTAAGTATGGATCTGTGCATAACTCCTGCCATTTGTTTCAGTGGGTCGCCGACCTGGGGCCCACCCTGAGTAAAGATTTCAGAAATTCCTGATTAATCCCATTGAGCGAATGGAGCCAGGAACATCCCACCGGGTCCCTCCGGCTTTGGATGCTCAATCGTGTTCATCTCAGGGCACATCAGCTAATTTCTAAAATTCGGTGGCATGCCAAAAATGTCCTTTTTGCCAATGGGACAAAAATTAGGTATAATTTTGATTACAATAATAACAGTAATAACCTACACATTTTTGCTCTGAAGTAATTTAAAAAAATTAAGGTGCCTGTCCTTATATATAAGGCTTCTGGTACCAAAAATTAACCAATCAGACACAACCTCATTATGTGACGTGACCAATAAGATGCAACTGTATTACGTGACATACATTTATGGCTCAAGACGGGACGCCCCCATTGGATGGCTACTGTTGCATTGGCTGGTGTCGTTTTTTTTTTTTTAATCTGACAATTTAAGGGAAAAGAGTTCAGCGCCCCTGGCTAAGTAGCCAGGGACCGCCTGTTTTAAAAATTCTTGGGGCACACTGGTGGAAAGTCGCTGGTATATAGTTATTACTTTTTCAATGTTAATCTGAAAAATTGTAAAAAAAACAACCCAATCAACATTATACAGGAAACACAACCAATAAATATTTAACAGATGCAAACAGTGCTCTTAATGTTGACTTGATTTGACTCTTTCAAGATGACCTCATGTAACAAAATGAAATCATAATCTCGGTGCAGAAAGTTTGAACCCATGGAAGGCTGTGCGTACACCAGAAAAGCATACATGTACCGACTTGCCAATTGGGTACAGGACGATGATAGGTTGGTGACATCGATCTGCAGCGACTACTAAGGCCTCGGTATTTGAAAGAAGGCACAGAGGGAGCTCCTGTCTCCAAGCTGCTTTGTCTGCCTTCTTCACAGCATGTTGAGCCTAAATAAAGTTTATGATACAGGCAATCGTGTGTACAACTAAAGAGTAAATGCTAAAAAATCTCAAATGTTATCATAAAGATTTGCTCCAAGTTTTTAAAAGACTGAAGAACCACTAGTCAGGAAGTGAGATTCCTTAGGGAAAGAGAACATGAAAATGGTAATACTGGCATTAAATCTATTTTAGTGAAACCCTGGGAGGTACGATGTCAAAGCTCAGTGTGTTTGGTTACAACTCTGTGGCAGCAGGAAGTCGGTCTATGCGCCTGCTGTTGGGTCCCTACGCGCAGGCCCGTCCAGTAAGCTCAGAACCCGAACCTTTGGTCTTGAAGGGACTGGCGTGGC